ATATTTTTTTAATCAAAATATATATTTAAAGTATATTGTCCTTTTCATTTAGGTACCTAAAATATTCTTTAATTAATGTCATGTGTCAATTTTTTATAATTTAGATGAAAAATATTGGATCAATATTGGGTTATAAAAATATAATAATAAATTTAGTGGTTAATTCAATACTTAATTTTTCTTTAAATCCATTTAACCAAAATTATTTACTTAAAGTTATTATTATATTTTATAACCCAATATTGATCCAATATTTTTCACCTTAAAAAAACTTTAAGCATCTTCACCTTAAAAAAAACTTCTTCAAAAACAATAAGAGAGATTTGAACTAAATGCTAATCTTATTTACTCATTAAATAATCATGACAATTGGGATAGAAAGAGCCTCTATTTATAATGGTGTCCTAATTGGACATAACTCCAACAATCAGGCCAAAGTGTTGGCTATACGTACAAAATTGGAGTCTTGAAACAGATGATTCTCACCTTAACGCAACTGGTACAAGAATATCACCGGCCATTACCAGACTGCATCTTGAACATTTACTAGGACCAGACTTGTGCAGAATCTTTCAAGTTCAAAAAAACATAAACGAAAAATAGTTATCACAGTATCAAAATTTTTGCATTCCTTCGACAAGATTCAAGATTCACTTATCAAAGTATGCAGTTGCTGTCGGAATGAGGAAATGTCTTCCGCTTTGACAGCCATGACAATCCCATTTAGCTGGTAATCTTTTAGCTGCGAAAAAGATTGACAACAAGAATATAATTATAGCATTGATCAAGACAGTTTTAGAGATGAACAAAAATGGATCGATGATAGTAAATTGGATGTTGAATCCTACTAACCTCGTGAGCAGCAACCTGCTGAGTTTGCAAAGGAAAAAGGAAGGACCACATGCTCAGCTGAAATGTGTTTTAGAAGGAAATCATTAAAAAGTAAAAAGAGAAACAAGCCAGTTTTATGTCGACCAATAGACACATAAACATTGTGCAGTACATGCCTCAATGAATCAATACCTTATGTAAAATATCTTCTTCCGGCTTAATATATATGAAAGCGTCATCTTTGTCGGTGCTTGAAGACCTTTTCTGATTTGCATTCTTGTGCTGTAGATTCACCTCCAAGTCAGGGAGAGAATAATCAAAATGATCGTATGAAAAGCAAAATCAGCGTAAGGAAGATCTTATACCTTGTAAATTTTGCTTACAACTATGTAAAATTTGAACCGGAAGGAATTACGCAACTCCTCCGTGGGCTTCAAAAAAAGAAACAAGAAGATATAAGTTAACTACCAACGATTAGTGATTTTGAAGATACTTAAAGTTTTTTTTAAGGTGAAGATGCTTGAAATATTACTCAACATCAAACCTCATCTTCCATAGCCCATGAGATTTCATCAAACAACGCATCATAAAGATGGGGCAATAGTTCAGGAGGAAGATTCACCACACGTTGGGAAACCAAGAGACCCACATCCGGTGCTTTATCTCCCAAAAGTGATCTCAAGTTTCCTATTTTATCTTTCTCCAGGCATATGTTAAGAAGGAACTCCTTGAGCTCCGTAATACATTTGTGATCCTAGAGAACAACAATCGCAACATTTTAGGTACAACATTTGGTCTATAAGAGATACGCATGTTCGCATAAGGAATAGCACCTCAACAGATAAAATTTATCAAAGCACCCACAGTTTGAGAAAGTATAAGAGGTATTTCTGTAAGCATTAATCAGAAATAGAACTTGATGTCATCAACAAGTTGGCTTCAGGTTTGGGGAACTCAATACTCTATTCATATAAACAATTCAATAACAAGAAAGGTTCTTCTAAAATGTTTTGTATACTTGTGTAACTTAGACTAGGGTGTGAGTGTTGGCAACAGTATGTCCCTACTGGTAATGTCTACATTTTCCCCAAGATTTGGAGGGTCCTTGGAGGACCATATCATCATATATGTGTTGAACACAAGTGACAGACACTAGTACTTCATGAAAAAAGAGAAGCCAGGCCAATATGGTTGCGTACTACCTAATCTATCATGTCATATAATATTAGTAATTTAACTTCACAGATCATTCTCTCTATGGATTTAAGTTCAGATTCTATACAATCAAGTACAAGGAGACGATTTAATCAACTCAATTTCCAAAGATGGAAAAACCAGAATGGCATAATTTAGAAGGTCAACTGTAAGTATTACTTTTCAGTAACTCAATTTCAAGTTAGGGTCAGTCAAGGCAACTAATCCAGCTAACAGGGAATTTCAACAAGTAATCAAAAGCTGAAAGCTTACATCCTAAAATTCCAGGGCCTAATTTAACAATAAGCAAGCTAGTCACTGCATCTGCAACCATGTAAGAAGAAAAATATTCAGATCTAAATAACAACTTTCTTACCTTATATCTCCCCAAGTTAAGGGCAGTAATTATAGAAAAAACTCCATTGTCTTCATCATCCTCTAATTTAACAACAGTTCCAACAGTGGTTTGTCCCAATATCAAGTCTACAAAACCGCTCAAATCCCATTGCTTGTTATCAAGGTAGGATTGCAGCAATGTTTTCACACCATGGAAGTCATCTGGTTTAGGATCAAAGAAGGCAAAATCTGCTTGGACGACTCCCTTTCAAGGATAGAAGGAGAAAGAAAAGGGAAAATTAACGCAAACCTTCTTTACATATAAAAAATGGTCACATAATTAAGTACTTACGTCAAATTCTCCATCCTCAGATGACTCGGATTGTCTGTCTACCTTTTTTAACTTCTTAAATTCATCACCTACAGTTTAGGCCAGAAAATAATAAGAATGTGAACTCCAAAAATTCTAACAGGAGTCAAGCAGATAACAGCAATACAAAAGCAAATGTTAATCACTTTAAACACAACAGAACAAGAAAAAAATAGCTAAAAGACCTGCAGAATGCTCCATGGCATCACGCATGTGATGTTTAACCATGCAAGCAGTGGCAACTCGAGCAACAGAACGAGCAAATGGTGAGAATGTCAAAGGCCGAACAGGTAACATCCTACGATGTCCGGACGGTTTTCGTGGCATCTTCGAATCAGCTGAAAAATTGACAGAAAATCAAGGGTTAGTATTTCTTTCCAGGGATTCAAACACCAAATATGCAGGATGATATCTCTTAAGACTAAATGCATAAACTAACTGACGTAAGCCTTGGGTTCAGGTTAGTAGGGTTTGATAATAAGGTGCAGGATGAAAGACCCTAAATCCCTACCTAATAAAATGGCATATTATATTATTACATATTTCTGTACAGCTTTTTTTAGAGTACGCAAATGCATTAACAAGTGATCATTAACGGTATCTCTTTACTTAATTTATAGTTATCATAAAACATTTAGGGAAAAAACTACAATTTAAACATCAGATACTAATATTCAAAAATTAATTAAACATTCAAATTTCAAACAATAAAAAGCTAAATAATTTACTTTCACCATTGAAATACAGCTTATACTCAGCTAAACGAAACTATATTCAAATAAGGGATAAATAAAATGGATAAAAAAAAGAGTTAGAATTTATACATTATTTGGCGAATGTGAGCAAAGCTTGAGTTTTCGGAGCAGTTTTAAAAGGGAGAAAAGACGGTACCTTTCGCCTTATTTGTTTGTTTTTCCGTCCAGATGAGAGGAGGCGGCACCGCCGGCAAGCTTGGGTTTTATTTGTAGTTGGAATTTTGGGAAAATTTTAAGGTATTTTGCCCTTTTATGTTTGGGTCATTAGGGATTCTAATTCAACCGTGGAGATATTGGGAAAAGAGAATGAACTATCAAACAAAAGAGGCTTTAATTATTTGGATAAACTATTAGTATGACTGATTAATTATTGTTTCTTTTTAATTTGATCATCTATTTTGAAATTTTGTGAATTATATCACTTAACTATTTAAGTGTGTCAATCAAGTCATCAATCGTTAACATTTAATAGAGAACGTGATGTGGCAGTTAAAAATGATATAATTATACATTTGATCCTCATTATTTATATATTCTATCAAGTTGATCTAAATTTAATTTAATTTAAAATTTTTAATCATGTATGGTGACACGTGTCTTCATCATAGTGAAGTATTAAATTTGTTAAGATGCAAAGATTGAAATCAATGCGCTGAGAGTAAACGATTCTCGAAATCGATGTGTTTTTTGACAATTTTTTAGAACATGGGATTTTCTTATTTTGACAATTGATTAAATGAATGATTTGTTTATAACCTTTTGGAATTTGATGATCTACTTATCACAAGCAAATCATTGAATTGTTAAAAATGAAACAGATGTTAAAAAATATTTTTTAAATGATTTTCTTACAGCGTAAATTTCATCACATGTCATCCAATTATTATTAAGAATACAAATGGGTCACCAAATTAGTTAGTACAAATAGGTCACTCAATTTTAAAAAGTTACAAATATGCCACTTAATTAATAAAGAAGTAGGAAAAGAAAATTTTATTTCTAGTTTTGAGCTTCTCGAATATAGGAGGCTCCATCGATGATCTGAATGGTGGAAAAGAAAAATATCTTACGAGACAGAGATCATTTGACGATGGATAACATGGATTTAAGAGAAAGAAGTTTAAAAGTTTTGGGTGACTTCATGACCTTTTAGAAAGATTCTCAAGAATCTAATTCGATGAATTGAAGGAGGAGATTGAAATAAATCTTATAGTAAATTTTGGGATTCGTCAGCCATCGTGATCGATGATAGTCAACACGATGACACATAATTTAATTGTTACAATCATTTAATTAATTGAATTAATTGTATCAATCAATTAATTGAGTGTCTTGATTATAACTCTTTAAAATATAATATTTTTAACTGAATGAAATATTCCAGTCAAATAATCATATAATATTTAAATATTAATTATATCTTACTTAAGGGATTAATACTTCATATTAAATTAACTGATAATTTATTTATTTAATAAGCTGTTGGAAATCGGAATACATGATCCAGCATCTATTTATTCAATACTTAAACAGACGCTAGCATACTCAAATCCATTTTCATGGCTGCCGCTGGAACCAAATCTGACTAGGTCGTTGATCGTTGTAATCAGTGACCGTAAGCTCAAGCGGGTTGACATTAGTTTCTTTGACCTCCAACACCTTCCAGTCTTCACGTGTAAAATGGTGCCATTACTCTGAAATCTCCGTCGTTCTTCCTTCCATCCATCGCAGCCATCGACGACGGCGAGCAAGTTCACATCACGACACGTTAGACATCCTTTTTTATTCGTTCGAGGCCTGATGGTCAAATCTTGATATATCATCCAATGCTGTTCAGCATCGTGGCTCACACACTTATCCAACCATACCCAACCATCACTTGCTACAAGGCACAGCCCCTTGAAGCCGACAATGGTGGTGAATGATGGCTTCATGTTGTTGGTGACATAGAAAGCTTGTTTAGAACCATAAGCATTGTTATCTACAGCTAGATTCATCAAGCCTGTGGCCTTGTATGTCTGGTCTTTACTAGCCGTCAAGACCAGCCCGAATCGAGGATTTCAAATGGTTCCATCGCTGCTGATTTCCCATTTGGTGGTACCGGCAATAACCGTGTCTCAATCATAGATCATCACATTCTCTCCGAATTTAAATGGATGTGTTAAGCATTTTCCACCGGATCGAATTGTGTTATCATCTGATCTCAATGTCCATAACTGGTTCACTTGATTCTTTCCACGTTGCCACAAGATTATCTTGTTTCCATTGTTGTAGTTCCTGTTGGATACATCAACACAGAGACCATCTTGTCCGATAATATACGATGTCGGCGACGACAGTCTTTCACAACTGCCGCTGTTGTCTTCTAGATCGGTGGATCTTTTCGTCGGCATGCGCAAAAGCTGCTGCAAATGAGCCCTTGGCCTTGAGTTCCCGCATATTGCCGGCATCAATGCAATGGTGGAAAGAGCTTCTCTCACGGTGCTTAAAACCAATGTTTGACGACCATATTCTAAGCGAACTGCTGTAATATTCCATGTATTGCAGATTGAATGGCTTTGGAGATTTCCTCCCATTTATTTTCATACTCCACCATTAAATCATCTGGATGAAACACTCCATAACTTCCATCTGCACGAGGATCTGCAAGTGCAAGGATTTGTTGCTGTATGTTCCTCAATCGTACAGCTTCGGTAACCATCTGCAGGCAACCGATAAGGGCTTTAGCAACAAGGTTACTATTAGTAAAAGGGTTCATATAACCCAAGTCAGAACTATATTGGCCTAGTTGACCAATTCCCAGAAGGATTTCTTTTCTATCCCCTACTCCCGCAACACGTTCAAGTGCCTCATATCTTCCTCTGAACGGAAGAGACACTCTTTTCGTGTTTAGGAACAAAGCATCACGTACATCGCCGGTGACATGGCTAAAGATATAGGATCGACTTTCAACACCCGGTCGATAACCCGAGATATACGTGGTACTTGCATTCAAAGCTTGTGTGACAGCAAGAAAAGGACCAGTTAAGAGTTCCACCAGGACATATTGTTGGGGATCAGTAGGTTGTGCAGATTGGGGAGGCAGTATCGGTATCTCGCCGCTTTTATCTGCACGTTCTGTCAGTGCATTGTACAGATCTTTCATAAAAGTGAGATAAGAGTCCCCGGTGGCCACATCAGTGGTGAATCTCACGGTGAAAATCTGAGCTTCTGTTCTTCATATTGCGTTGCAGCCATGCAACACTGTAGTTCGACCAGGGATAGTTGGATACCCAATAAGCCCATGATGCAACCAACAGTACAACCCACACCCTCATTTTAGAAACATTAGTAGTGAAAGTTTTGCACAGCTTGGCTTTCTTGCATGCTTACAATGGTATGAGGAGAGCCCTTTTATAACCATTTTTCTTAGCAAAAATACAAATTTGTTAGGCGCATACATTAATTGCTTCAAGATGATGAGTTGGTTGCACCATAGTAGGGAGCCTTAAATAGAAATATGTTAGGCGCATAACATAAATGCTTCAAGATGATGATTAGCTATGGTCATCACCACCTCGAGTCATAAGCAGTTCAGACTCAAATCAATTTTAATTAAATTTTCGGGTCGAATCATCTTTCTATACCCCTAATCTTGTTGCCAACATAAAAGAAGCATAAATACTTCCACCTACAGCCACATTACTCCCGCCTGTGCGTATACTTGTTATCAACAACAACCCGGATCTGGTTTTTGTTTTCTTATACTTCCATCTCATTGCAATTTCCCGTTTAGGTATAGTTCTTTGTTTTTTGTGATTGAGAAGTGCTTCTGAAGAGAATGCTGTGCAAAAAATATAGTTTGTTACATTGTGGTTAAAAGGTACTTCGAGAAGTTAATTTATTTTATGTAAAGTTAATGCAACACGAAATTGGTCACTTGTTGAAATGCAACATGCTGATAAGTAATGGTTGATGCTAGCTACGGACCGTATGAAAGGTAGATGGTATAGTTTTAAATTACAGTTACGGTATCATATGATATCGTCGTATTCACCGACACATTAAAAATGTGATGTTTTAGAGGAAGATAAAATAGGCTTGCAACTTTTGAAGTTTGCGGATAAACCCTTCCCCACCACATTTGCTAGTGGACGATGATAGAATTAAAACCTAATTGATATAAATTTAAGAACTGAAGATAAATCATGTCAAATTATTTCAACAAGGAAGTGGGAAAGCCAAGCCTTAAATACCATTCCCAATAGTGTTTCCAATACTATGTGGGATTGAGCATTACCAACACTTGTTCCCAATACTATGTGGGATTGAGCCTTAAATAGTGATATTATTTTTGAATGTTTTGCTTAAAATTGCAATAATCGCGATTGATTGTAGATTGACTTTTAATTATGACATATTTAATCGTATAATACTAATGCAATTGGTTGCTGATTCAGTTGTTTTAAGGTGCATGATTGTTAATTATTTCCTGAATAATCACATTGTATTGGAAACAAGTGTTGGTAATGCTCAATCCCACATAGTATTGGAAACACTATTGGGAATGGTATTTAAGGCTTGGATTTCCCACTTCCTTGTTGAGTGATAGAGAACAAGGGGGACTCTCGCGTGCCGCCGCCGCCGTCGTCTTCCGTCTCGTCTCGTCTCGTCTCGTCTCGTCTCGGGTCGGGTCGGGTCGGGTCGTGGTCGTGGTCGTGGTAATACGTGTCTTCGACACGTCTGCGCGAATACTATCTTTTTAGAGAAAATTCTTGTTGAGTGATAGAGAACAAGGGGGACTCTCGCGTGCCGCCCCGGTCGTCTTCCGTCTCGTCTCGTCTCGTCTCGTCTCGTCTCGGGTCGGTCGGGTCGGGTCGTGGTCGTGGTAATACGTGTCTTCGACACGTCTGCGCGAATACTATCTTTTTAGAGAAAATTCTTAAGAAACAAATGCAATACCACCAGTCGTTGCGATTTTGGACTATCGCAATGAATTTGGAATAAATCGCAATGCGATAGTCGACTATCGTAATGCGAACTTAGACTATCTATCGCAATACGAACTTGGACTATCGCAATGCGAATATGTAAATCGCAATGCGAACTTCGACTATCGCATTGCGATTTACATATTCGCATTGCGATAGTCCAAGTTCGCATTGCGATTTACATATTCGCATTGCGATAGTCCAAGTTCGCATTGCGATAGTCGACTATCGCAATGCGATTTACATATTCGCATTGCGATAGTCCAAGTTCGCATTGCGATAGTCCAAGTTCGCATTACGATAGTCCAAGTTCGCGTTGCGAATCTGGAAACTGATTTGCGATACCGGAGATCGCGTTGCGAATTATCGATCGCATTGTGATTTAGTTGGTCATTTTGGCAAATCCAAAAAAAGTTGGTTAAAATCGTATATTATAAGGCATTTTTGGTCAATGAGGTTATTTTCTCTTTATAATTTTGTCTCTCATCAAATTATAAATACAACTTATAGTATTTAACTTTAATTGGTCTCCTAATTTTGTATCATACTTTATGATAATATTGTATATTATACATATGTGCCCACAAAGATGAATTTGAATCCAATAATCTCCCACTTGGTCAACATATCAATCATGACTAGACTCATCAATGATCACTTATACAAATATTGTCGACACCCGTTTTCGTCCTGACATTATTATTATTATTATTATTTATTGAATGCCTTTACAATAGACCCAACCGGGCCAGCATGCCCATACCCCAAATTACAACATTTCAACTCGGCCCAAAATAAGGCCCAACAGTAGGCCCAGGCCTAACTGAAAACTAAGGTTGAAAGCCTAAGATTACCAGTCAATTGTCGTCGCACAATCACAGCCATTGGATCTGGAAGAGATCCAATGACCCCAATCACCCCATATTAGGTCTGCACCCTACCCCTATCACCGCCGCTTCCACCAACCACGCACCAATAGCCATGCTGCTCCAACACACCACTCTAATCTCTGCAACAAGCAACCACAAATACTGAAGTTATAATGATTTCATTTGTTTTGGAAAAAGAAAAAATCTGCAAGCATTAGGGGTTATAAAACCCAAACATATTGCAAAAGAAAAGGGTTTCCTTTTCATTTTGAGAAGCAATAAAAATTAGAAACTTTAAGGTATTTTTTTCTTGTATTTCTCGATTTTGAAACACAAAGTAATAAAGTATAAAAAACATTAATTGCATGAAACAAAAACCAAAAGAAGAGAGTATATATATATACCTTAGAGTGGGGAGTTGAATTGGAGGGTCGGTTCGTCTTTGCGGCTGTCGGAGTGTGCGAGAATCAAAAGGTCGGGGAGCTTTTGGGGTCTATAGGGAGATTTTTAGGTGGTTTTGGCTTTAGGTTTGTGTCTAGGGGCATAGAATATGATCGTTTAGGGGCTTTTAGGTTCGGTTTAGGGGTTTTGACCACCGTGTGTAGTGGTCGGAACGACAACCAAAGTCATGGTAAGGCGGTCGGAGAGGGATCGACCGAGGGAAGAAGAGAGAAGGGAGAGATATTTTTGGATTATTTTTAGAATTCGATTTGAAATGAAAAAAAGAAAGAAAAATGAGTTATATAGGAAGACTGTAGGGAAAATCACACTAAGGTCCCCTAACTTAAGCGTGTTTTTGCATGTTAGTCATTTGTAGGGACCGGACTTACTATTTGTCCTTTTTTATGCATGTTTTAAATTTTTGAGATATTTGTTGTTTAGTCCCCATAGTTTAGCGTGTTTTTGCATGTTGGTCAACTATAAGGACTGAAATTGTTATTTACCCGTTTCTTATGCATGCTATGTATTTTTGGGATATTTGTTGTTTAGTCCCTCTTATTTAGGCGTGTTTTTTATATTTTGGTCATGTGTAGTGATTATTTAATTTTATTTTGATATTTATGGACTGATTTAGTAATTTACCAATTTTTTCTTTAAGAGCATGTTTTAGGCTAGTAAAAAAGGAGTAATTACGAAATGGTCCATGTAGTTTCAACATATTTTATATTTCCATCTCTTATCTATTTTTTATTTTATTTAATTTAGCCATGCAATTTTATTTTAATTTAATTTGGTCCCCATGTTTTATTTATTTTTATTCTTTGTAATTTTAGCACTTAATATTAAAAATGTTCATTTTAGTCACTTTCTGCACTTTATTTTGTTTTAATTTTTGACATGATGATTTGTTGGTTTATATTTTAGTCCTATTTGCATGTTGTTTTATTTTAATTTTTGCATATTGCTTTTATGTTATTTTATTTTAGTCACTAATTAGTTTTGTTCTATATTAATTTGCATGATACCCTCATACGCATTTCTGGATTTGAATCAAAATAATTTGACTAAAGGTAATATTTGCTCATTTTAATAAAGTGACTATCTTAACGTATAAGAAAGTTACTTTCGATAATTTTAAATGAAAGTCTACCCCATTAAGTGACACAAATTAAATTGAATCCATTTTAAAATTTGGGGATTGAGAAAAAGATCACGTTCTTTTAATTAAGTTCACCGAGAAAATACTATTAGATCGAATCTAAGGTCTCGTCTCAATGTATTTAAATAATTAAACATCCTTATTATAATTAAATGTTGGTAAAATAAATAATTAATTGTACTTGCTTGGTGTATGCTTTTAATTTATTTTATTCTTGCTTGTATTTTTCAATGGGATTTCAAAATAAGTAACACTCGAATTAATATTGAAAATAGTAATATCTTTTCATTTCGGTTGGGGTAATAAATGATTGCTTTAAGGCATGAGAGGTCATTTATTCTCGATTACAAATAATTAGATATTATCGTTTTCTCTCGAATCATTGTTGATTTTTAAGACGAAATGGTGATATCTCTTTATTTCGATTTGAGTAATAAATGTATGCTTTAAGGCATGAGAGGTCATTTATTATTGATTGGAAATAATTAGATATTATCATTTTCTATCGAATCAATATTGAATTTTAAAACGAAATAGTGATATCTCGTTATTTCGATCGGAGTAATAAATGACTGCTTTAAGGCATTAGAGGTCATTTATTCTCGATTTAAAATAATTAGATATTATCGTTTTCTCTCTTAGAATTATTTTGTGTTGTTATTTTGAATTAATATTAAACTTTAGGATGTAATTATAATATTTTCTT